CAGGTGATTGTAACTTTCAGAATGGCTGGTGTACGTGGACAAATGACAAATCACCTAAGGACGTGTTCGACTGGATTATTGGGTCGGGTGGGACACCTAGCTTTCTAACGGGCCCTGACAAAGATCGGTTAGGATCTAGTAAAGGTATGGGGAATACAAATCAATTTTAAAATTCGCCACATGAGTTGTTTTTTTGTTTTTTGTTTTTTGCATTTCATTTGTTTGGAATTTATTCTTCTTATTATATCAAGTGCGTTATTGACAAAACATGTATGTCAACGTCAACAGGAAAGTACGCGTTCATCGAAACATCATATCCCCGGCAGCCCAAGGACAAAGCCCGATTATCCAGTGAAACTTTCGTATACCCATCGTCGCAAAGTCGTTGTTTTACTTTTTGGTATCACATGTATGGTACTACTATAGGAACACTGAACATATATCAAACTGYTAATAATAAGGATACTTTGATTTGGACGCAAACCGGAAACAAAGGAAACAAATGGTACAATGGACAAGTAACCGTTGGCAAGGCGTCTTCTTACAAGGTKARAGTGCCTTCTAAACCTCTTCCTACAACGATATTTCGCATGCAGGAAATATTTCTAACAATTGGAASACACCGGATTGACTGTCAACTYTTAGTTMACGAGAGCTACAATTGTAGTTGTCTAATTGTTTTAGTATCCGCCGAACTATTGGACAAACCTGCCCTAGAAAAAAGAAGATATAAAAACAATTTTTCTTGACATTTTTTCTACTATTTTTACTCATTCGTTGCAATTCTATGGTATAACATAAAATATATACCACAGTTCGATAGCCAATCAGGATGCTTGATTTGTGAATGCTCATAGTTTGGTGGATGCTAAAAAAGTGTTAAACAATTGACTATTTCTACACCTAGGATAACAAACAATAGAATAATCTATTAACATATTAAAGCTATTCCCGCCTGTACTGGAAATTTGAGAATAGTAGTTTATAATCAGTTGATAATTGATGCTTTCTACGCAGGAAATTTCTCACTTGAACTTGTTAACTATCATTTTTAGGTTGTTCTTGAAGGAGTGAGAGGTTCAGGTTATACTGGCGACATTGCTATCGATGATTTTGTATTTCTCGACAATAAGAACTGTCAAACTGTACCGTCATCGGCWGCACCTAACGCACCAACAACTGTCGCAACTACACCTCTGATAACAACTACAAAGCCAGTCAGTAAGTAGTATGTAGCGATGCTCAAGCAGTCAACAAGMAATATTTAACAAGAACCACTTCGTGGAACATACCGTRTCCAGGTTACGCTAATATATATTGTTACCAGCGCCRCGATCGATTTGATAGATTTTGCKTATGATCTTTTCACATCACTTTTTGAATATTTTTATYATTACAGCGWTAATTTAGCATTCAGATTGYATTTGTATTATCCTCCGAKAWTTTATAAGATGAGAGTTTGCTTTGCATAAAATGATTTTAGAAAGAAAAAATAGAACGAGTATATTTTAAAGTTAAAACAAAGAAAAAAATTGTTTAGAAGCTGCTCGAGTCGAGA